TGCTTTCGTGCACTACATACCAGCCAGTTCTTAGAATAACTTCATGAATTCTATGGTCACCCCTACGACATCTGCTGCAGCCAAAATGGATGGAAAATGAAACGCAGAAGCACCAACCCCTTGTTATGNTGCTTTCGTGCACTACATACCAGCCAGTTCTTAGAATAACTTCATGAATTCTATGGTCACCCCTACGACATCTGCTGCAGCCAAAATGGATGAAATANCACAGAAGATGTGTGGTTAAAAAAAAAATGGCCAAAGAAAAGATACACAGTATTGGTGTGGTGAATGTGAGGCAGCGTTGTGTTTAGAAGAATGCTTCAAGGCGTCACCTGCTTCAATTGCCGAGATACCGGGCGCTCATATTATAAGGCAAGGTTATAAAACCATCTTTTAAGATCATTTTAGTGAAAGTTTCATGCTTCAAGGCATACCAAACACTGCTCAAATCTAAACCAACTGCTTCCATTGCCGAGATACCAGGCGCTCATATTATAAGGTAAGGTTATAAAACCACATTTTAAGATCATTTCAGTGAAAGTTTCATGTTCCTATCTCATATAATTTAAGAACAATGATGAATAAATCATTTTCGAGCAAAATTTAAATGGTCGGCTGAATATATTACCGCTGGAGAGACACGGCAGCGGAATTTAAATGACCGCGCGAAAGGGTTAAAATGTATATAATCGTCTTGAAATTTATTTCTCAGATTTTCCCTAAGTGAGATCACTGAAATGACCACCAAACAAGTCAATAGAAGTGGTAACACTTTTAACATGCATTGAAAAGAGGTGGCAGGCCCAAATCTTGGGCTTGATGCTGAATATTTGACATTTTTACGACTTTCCTTGGACACTCCAGGTGAATGCTGGGATATCTCAAATTATGCCATATTTGCTTCCCTACACATCTTTTGCAAGTCATTATTCCATAATCATCCTACCATTAGACACTATACAGCCTGGGCTAGTGATAGCACGAAATAAGAGTGGCCTCCGTAGTCTAGAGGTAATGTTCCCACCTAATGACTCGTAGTACGCGGGTTCAAACCAGGCGGAGGTCGTGGAATTTTTAAGGGTGGAAAAATTCAGGGAACAAGTCCTCCGGGAGGAACTTTAAGCCATGGATCCCGTGTCGTAGCTTTACGGCACGTAAAAGAACCTCATATCTCCTAAGGAGGTCACTGAGCCAAATTCAAGGACATTTCCCGCCCAACAGTAGTCTATAACGCCTCTGATAGATGGGGGAAGCATTATAGATACCGCCAAGCCAGTAGAGGCCGAACTCGCTGGCTTGGTCGGGACTGATGGTAAGCACCAGTATCAGTAGGGTATAGAGACTGGTAGAATATCATAGAGGGAAGCACAATAGATCAAACTGGTCGCGGTGCATGGGGAAACCCACCCTCTCTAAAGTAACTAACTAATAACTAGCATGAAATAAACAGTAAGTAAATAATTAAATTCTGTGAGGTTTGAAGTTCTCAGGGCAGTGAGTAACAGGACTGTCTCCTCAGTTGTGATGCCTTGTAGCCTGGTAGAAGTTTGATGATGTTTCAGAGAAAGTCAGTATAATTGTCTGAAACATCAGTAAACTTCTGTCAGACTGTGCACCACTACACCCTAGAAGACAGTGCTATTCAATACATACATAAGAAATAAACTGACCATTTAAAGACATTGTCACCAAAGGAACAATTTTATGTCAAATTGTGAAGAGAATACACTAAAGCATGTAACTTTCTCTCTTACTTAATTATTGTATTATAGAGATTATTGTACAGTTTGTGGTGTGTGTTTACACAGAGCACGGGTATTCATGGAGATCCAGCTGCAGCTCTTCTAGAAGTGTTGGACCCAGAGCAGAACTGCAATTTTGTGGATCACTACCTGAATGTGCCATTTGATCTGTCCAAAGTGATGTTTATTGCCACAGCTAACACCACCAGAACTATTCCTCCAGCTCTCCTTGACCGCATGGAACTGATCCATGTCCAAGGGTACACACAGGTACAGCTGTTGTTCACTGTCTTACATAAATCAGCAATGATGAATTTTGCAAGACAGAATTAGTCATTAATTATGAAATACATTATTTCTCTACATTCACAAGATTGATTATATTTTTAACATGTGGTTCTTTTTCCAACATGGCACACATATATACAGCTTTAATGTTTGTTGATTCTATAGGAGTATATACAGTGTTTCCTGGGTAAGAAGTTCCCAGATACAAAATTCTCCGATATAAGGAGATTCGTTTTCAGAGTCCTGTGAAAGTGCTCATAAGAGTAATGTTAAAGTTTCCCATGTGTAGAGTTGTAATATACGAAGGTGGTCCAGTGTTAAAGTTACAAGTGTTTGTTATATATGGCCTGCATGCGACATCTCAATGTCACTTGCATATAATGGTACATCGGGTAGAGAAGCTGCCATGCTAGTGTTGTTATTCTCTGTCCACATGTCCAAGCTTTACAAGCAAACAAAATGGCCGGTCTGATCGAAAATTATTCCAAGTTTGAGGACCACACACCACACAGGGGACAGGTTTTTGCAAGCAGAAGGAGTGAGTCAGAGCGAGATTCATCGAAGATTACTGAGTGTTTATGACCGAATGTTTTCAGCCGAAAGGAAGTATCTGTGTTGTGTAACAAATTTAAAGATGGCTGAACAGCAGTGATTGATGATCCACAGAAACACGGAGACAGACAAAGGACCTCACACACTGATGAAAATTGTGTGAATGTCAAAGGTTTGATGAGGGAAGATCAAAGAGCCAAAGTTCGTGAAATTGTGAAGCGACAGGTATTGCAAAAAGCACTGTTCATGAAATCATCTAAGATTTAAACTTCCATGAAGTGTGTGCTTGCTGGGTTCTGAAAATGCTCACCAAGGAGCACAGAAGCAACAGAATGGCTGCAAAAAGCAGAAGTGGGAAGTTTGTCAGCATCCACTGCGTAGTCCTCATATAGCGGCATCAGATTTTTGTCTCCTCAGGCCATTTAAGAACTTATTATCAAGAAAAACATTTTAAGACCAAAGTGCATTGCAAGAAACACTTGTGCAATACTTCACACCCTTGGAGAGGAACACTACCATGAAGCAGTGTTTAAAATTGTAAAATGGTGGGATAAAGATCTGAATGCTAAGGGTGGCTACATAGAAAAATAAACATTAGTATGTAGTGTTTCTTGACTTTATTAAAGATTTTTTTTGGCAATATATATATACATATATGTTGATGTAATTTGGTGCTTTACCTCTAAATTCGGGCTGCCTTGTATAACGTCTTCCCACTTTAGAAGTTCATTTTCAGTTTTTTAAAAGTTTCATATTTACCATGTTTAAAATAACATGATGAACTGCACACAGTGTGCAGGTTTATATTTCAGTATCCTGTTACACTATTCAATGTTTTTGCATCAACAGATACAGTCAACTCTCGATTATCCGGGGGCGGATTAACCGGTTTGCGGCTTAACCGGGGCTTTTTTTTTAAGTTTATATGTTGTTTAATATTCATTCACTTTTGTTTCACATGGTGAGTTTAACACTATTTTCGCACTAGTGTGAACCGAGCTCTGCATTATTTCGTCCCGTTATGCGAACACAATGTTCTAGNGGAGTGGATGTATAGATCCAAATTTTCTTGACCTCGGCACTAGTTGGAGGTGAGTGGTCAGCTTCACGCCCCGGCCGCTTTACCCCCGGGGAAAGAGCCCCCGGTACCCATTGGATAGGAGGTTGGATGGACCCCAGAGCCGGTCTGGACGATTTGGAGAAGTTAAAATTCTTGACCCTACCGGGACTCGAACTCCGACCCTTCACAGTCGTCCAGCCCGTATAATAAAATTTGGCTTAACCGGGTTTTCGATTAACCGTGACTTCCATCCCCACCATTAGCCCGGATAATCGAGAGTTGACTGTACTGTGACAACAGTAGAGGATGTGGTGCTTTCTTGGCAGTCTGTGCCAAGGTTATATAACAAGACCCATGTGGGCAAACCATTGGCCCCCAATGCAAATGGCATTGTGAGGCAGCACTATGAGCTGAGTGAGCAGTTACAAGAGCTACACATAGATGTGACCCTCCTGTCAGAGACAGATTTGGAACCTCATGAAAGATTTTCTATTCCAAATTATCGCATTTGTCACATGGACTCCTTCCCGGGCAGAAAAGGTGGTACTGCCATTGCTGTTAGAAAAGGCTTTCCCCACAAGTTTGTAGACTTGGCCCCCCTTGTTTCAGTAGAAGCCACAGCAGCCTGCATACCGATTCATAANCCTATGCCTTGGTCTTCCCAGTGGTCTCTTTCCTTCTGCCTTTCCCGCCAATATCCTATACACATTCCTTGTCGTCCCCATTCGTGCTACATGCCCTGCCCACCTCATCCTCCTTGACTGGATCTTTCTAATTATACTTGGAGAAGAGTACAACTTATGAAGCTCCTCATTATGCAGTTTTCTCCAACCTCCTGTCTCGTCATCTCTCTTTGGTCCAAATATTCTCCTCAACACCCTGTTCTCAAACACCCTCAGTCTATGTTCCTCCCTTAATGTCAGAGACCAAGTTTCACACCCATACAGAACCACAGGCAAAATTATAGTTTTATATATTCTAATTTTTATGTTTTTGGACAGCAGACGGGAAGACAAAATGTTCTGGACTGAATGGTAGCAAGCATTAACCGAGTTCAATCTCCTCTTAATTTCCACCTGAATCAGGTTTTGATCGGTTATCATTGTTCCCAAATATCTGAATTGTGCCACATTTTCAAAACATCTGTTTCCTATCTTTATATCATGATTTTTCCCTGCATTTTGGTGACGAGACAGCAACATATACTTAGTTTTCTCTGTGTTTACTTCTAGACCAACCCCCTCACTTGCATCAATTAAAGTTTGTGTTTTTTCCATTATGGTATCTGTATTATGACCCAGTAGGTTCACATCATCGGCATAGACCAACAGCTGATGTGTCCCGTTTAATTTCAGTCCCACCTGGTTTCCCTGGACCTTCTTAATGGCATATTCTAAAGCAAAGTTGTAAAGGAGTTGGTGATAAAGCATCTCCTTGTTTTAGACCTTGTGGACAGGAAATTTATCAGACAAATGTTTACCTACACAGACTTTACTATATGTTTAATTTAAACACATTTTAATCAATCTAACTAGTTTCATGGGTATGCAAAATTCTATCAGAATATTGTACAATACTTCCCTCCTAACTATAAGCTTTCTTGAAGTCTATGAATAGCTGATGTACTGTGTCATCGTACTCCCATTTTTTCACCAATACATGAAGAGTAAGATTAAGATTACTTACTCTTAATCTTACTCTTCATGTATTGGAGAAAAAATGGAGAAAAAATTGTCAGTCANTAGGCATCAGACGAAGAGAGACACCAAAAACTGATGTTGGAAGCAGCGTCATCAGCAGCGACTTGAAGCACAGAGCAAATGATGCTCGAGATGGTTCAAGTTCGTATAGCAACAGGCGTGACCAGAGTGGTTTGAACGGCTGTTGTACTGCGATGTGGAAAGCAAATGGAAAAACTACCACGTTATCACTTTTCCTGGATAGTCTCTTTCCAAAAACAGAAGATCGCATTAAGTGGAGAAACTATTTTGGAAGAGACTGTGGACCTGTCGTGTGACAGATTACTGATGATGATGATGACATGAAGAGTGCAAAACATCTGATCTGTAGTTGATCTGTTACTTCGAAACCCACAGTGATGATCCCAAATAATTTCATCTATATATGTACTTAACCTTGATTGAAGAATATTGGATAAAATTAGCAGTGATATCGCTCAATAATTACTACAGTCAGTTTTATCACCGTTATTGTGAACTGGTACAGTAGATTCATAATAGCAAAATATTATATGCAGCTCTTTATGAATCTCCAGGTTGTCCCTGGATTGATGCAGACATCATTAAGCTCTGTGCTTTAAGCTTAACTCCATATTGGCAGGTGATCTGAATGCTGAACATCCATTTTGGATTAGTGCAGTTTCAGACCCTTCATGTGAGAAACTTTTGGATTTATTTAGTTTAAACGAATTCAAAATTTTGGCACCACAATGCCCAAGTCATTACTGCCCTGCAAGAAATTATGACGTATTCAACATTTTGGTCCATCAGAATATCAAGACTCTCACGTGTAATTGTTTCTGATATCCTGGACTCAGATCTCCTACCAGTAGTATTCCATATAGTGGTTCATGTTAAAACTAAGAAGCTTTCAGAACCATTTGTAAAATTCACAGACTGAAAATGGTTTCAGAGCTTTGCTTCTGATTTAATATCATCTAGAATTGAAATTAACATGGGGGAAAAGCTGATAAAGTTGCATACTACTTTACAGCCTCTATAGCTTCAGCTTACTTCCATCTAGTGCAGTGATTTTCAGTGTGCCATGGCATACTGGTGTGACACAGAGGGTCCGCAGGTGTGCCGTGAGCGTTTGGGGGAAGGTGGAAAAGAAAGGAGAAAAAAATTTAAAATAAAAAGAATCATCAAAATCCATCATCAGCATTATTTTTAAAAATAATACAATGATTAGAATTTTAGCTATTGAACTTTTAAACACAATTTTATTACTCTTTTTTTAATGATAAAATCTCTCCTTTAAAATTGATGTTGTACCTGGACAATTGTAGTTCCTTGTTTGGTTGAAAAACTCGTGATCTAGTGTCAGGGTTAAGAACACATGGAATTGTGCCTTCACTCCCCATACACCTTCATACCATGGTGTTTAATTAATGAAGCATGGAGACTTTACTTTCTTTTTTTTAATCCAGGCTTTAATACATGCACTATGCATCGGTGAGTTTTGCAAACTGGGTACAGCAAATTTTTAGAAGATTTGACTTTTAGATTCTGTATCTTCTGGCAATTAAATTTAATAAACACAAATTATTATTATCTATCACTGTGGATATGTGGAAGCACGTTATCTGTATGAGTGATCCGTGCCTAGCACAGCCAGTAGTGTATGCAGCCACTACTGTAGCTTGTGTAACCTCTCTTATATGCATTTTTGGCAATGACAAGCATTGGTCTTTTTAACATTTCTGGTTTTGTTGTTTTAATAAATGTACATGAACAGATTTATGATTGCAAAGGAAAAATCAAGAACTAGAATAATGATGAATCAAGAATTAGTGACTTGCAGTGATGATAGTTAACAGCCTAAGTAATGTGATAGAACTGAACACCACAAGTCATAAAAGTTTTTAAGTTGAAATACATACAGAAAGTATGAAAACTTGCTTTTATTGAGACAGTTATTTACAAATTGATTTATATGCTGCAATTATGAAATTAATGTTGCATTTCTCTAAGAAGACATATTACCTTAAAAAATTGTTACATTCTCATGAAAAAGGAAATATTAGTTTTATAAAAAAGTTTTAAAGTTGCTAGCTGAGCTCAGAAGGAAGTTATTTAGTGACAAAAATAGGAGAAAAGAAGTGAGACCTCATACAGATGAAGAGACATTAATTCCTGCAGCCTGTGCAGGAATTGTAAGAACTGTGTGTCAGACTGATGCAGAAGAAGAAATGAAGAAAGTTCCTTTGTCAGATAATAGTGTGGATAAATATTATTATTAGTAACATATCAGTTAATATTGTGGATCTTCTGTCTGATTATGACAAAACAAGAATTGGACCTTGTGGAGGGGTTGGCCCCCTCCAAAACGGAAAAGAAAACAATGGATCAAGGAGGATCCGCTGATATAGAAGCACTGGCCTCCCAAGTGAGAGTGAATGTGCAATAGATGAATGTGAGGGACAAATGTGATACAACTGGATCTACTGACAAGTTAACGGGAAACCGCTCGAGACAAGCTGGTCTTAAGAAGGGAGTGGATGTAGCAGTTGGAAAATGGACAACAGAATAAAAAAGGAATGGGGATGTACCGTTAGGCTGTTTGGACGAACAACCTTTAGAAGAGAGTAGCGTGATGTGGATGGTGCAACGAGAAGTAGGGGTCACGTGAACTCTGCGGTCTCGCAAGTGACGTCACATACCACCACTCCTTCCACCATTAAGCAAAACTCGGTAAACACCCCTCCCCGCTAGGCTGTGACGTCACACATCAGGGGAGCCCATGAAGCGACTGTTGCTAGGCAATCGGTAAACAAAGCATCATCCAACAGGGAAGCCCGTGCAACGACTGTTGCTAGGCAATTGGTAAACACGCCGTTATGCAACAGTGGTACCTATCACGTAACTGTTTTCTGTGTTGTCCGTGCCGAGCCTAAATAAGGAGCAGTGAACACTATTCAAGAGTGAGTGAGTAGTGAGTTACTAGAGAGAGAGTAACCAGTCAGTTGCAGTCTAGCATTTGCTGGAGCAAGTGGAAGCAGGAGAAGTAGTTGTGATACTGCAGATGGCAGTAATTGTGAAATTGTGAATTGTGTAAGTGTAAGAGCGATTGTTCAATAAATTTGCTACATCCAAGATGGCATGAAATTGTCGCGTGACATAACCCAGCACGTGACAATATTGATGATACAGTGTGTGATAAGATTAAGGAATGTAATATATTTGCCATCATAGATGACTCCATAGGTGTGGGAGGAATAGCTTACCTATTAGCATTTTCTTAGTTTACTGATGATGAAGAAATTATAGAACAATTTTCATGTTTGAAGGCTCATGAAGAAACCATGATTGGAAAAGCGGCCTCCGTAGTCTAGGGGTAACGTTCCCACCTCATGACTCAAGGTACACGGGTTCAAACCNGGCCAACCTCATTGGCTGAACGGGGCTGGTAGCACGCACCAGTACCAGTAGGTTATGGAGACAGTATAAATTAAAGGGGGATGCACAATGGACCAATAACTGGTCTAAGTGCATGGGGAAACCCACGCCCTTTAATAATAATAATAATAATAATAATGATAATAAATAATAACCACGATTGGAAAAGATATTCTTTTTTTAATAAATACCTGCAGTCTTTTTGTCATGGGAATCATGTTGGCATATGCACAAATGGTGTACCTTCATTGATTGGTTCTTTAAATTCTTTCTTATGAATGCTGCATTAAAATTGGTTACAGTTGAAAGTTTAAACCTAGATGTGAAGTGTGTGTTTACATGTTCTGTGTAGCTCCTTGGTTATTTAACTTTAAATCTGATGTTTAGGAAGAAAAGTTGCATATTGCATCACGTCACCTTCTACCCAAACAACTGGAGGAGCATGGCCTCGAATCTCACATGGTGCAGTTTCCCATGGAGAGCATCAAGATCCTTGGTATGTGTGTTGACAGATCTCAAATGGTGGTAATATGCAAACAGGATACATTTTCATGTACAGGAGGATGATAGAGCAATATGGAGACAGCCTCCTCCCACAGGCAAGGAGAAGATCTGGCCAATAGTACACATGGAGCTATTGATTTGGTTTTTGTTGAATTTAATGTAAGCCATAGAAAATGTCTCTTGAATTACCCTGTACTTTATAATATGGATTCATTGATTTGAATTCTGTCATTTTCAGTAGAGAAGTTCAATAATTGAAATAACACTATTACAGAAATTATGTTGACTTCTCTTCATATAGAATGGGGATGAACTATGATTTATGAAGAGTATTCAAATGAAATGAATCCAGAAATTTTTCTGGGCTAATGAGTTGAGACTGTGTTCTTTAATATGGGCATTTTATTGATGCACCGACCAGTGGATCCCCTCTGCAAAGAGCTTCCTGGGCTACTGTACCACCACAGCCTTGACTTCCATATCCAAACCCAAACTAAGTGCTCCACATGGAAGTCGTGTGGGGAATGGTCTGACACCTCCCACCTCCCAGCTCATGGAGCACAGCATGTTCTGGGTAAAGTGTGACACATGGGGTTCGGCGTGGGCAGTTTCTGCACCTTGAACACCAGCTGTCCTAACCGTGTCACATTTCATTTAATTTAATGCACCGGTTCTCTTGTACTGCTACTTGTATGTCATCCACACACCTCATATTTGTTAGCAGTGCTACAAAGAGGTTTTATTTTAACAGTCCTTGTACTATTCACGATTCTTTATTTGGTATGGTTATATTATGTGTTGGAGGATCATAAAAATGTAACTGTCATAACTTTTTTGTGTTTGGGTGTGGGGGGGGGGCTCATCAATTTCAACCTTTAAAATAGGCTATATTTGTGAGTCTTGTCCTTAGGTTTTGCAGGCTGTGTCTAATGCGCAACTTCAGTTTTTTGTCATGTAGTCATGCCATATATTTGAAGTCATTCCAGTGTTTTGTGCACATTACAATTCCTGTCATTTGCCCTGAATATTTGGACTGCAGTGTATGTCAAACTCTTGGAACAGCTTCAATGTATGATGCAGGTAAATGCTGAAAACTGAAGTTACATGTGTTTCTGGTTGTTTGCAAATGACCAAAGAAATACTTTGCTTTATTTTTGCTGTTATTATGAGGCAACCATCATGCCAACATACCAAGTAGTTATATGCCTAGCTACTTTTTGTAATGCATGTATCTCAGTCAGAAAACTATTAAGTAGCACTTGCTGTGTAAGCTTTTCATGGTGATGGAGCTTCATATTTTGGTCTTCTTGATTGTGACATTGTATTCTGGTTCGGTTGGCCAGTACCAACATTTTGGAGGAATACATTGCTTCCATTTTCATATGTACCTGTGAGGGTGCATCTTTCTAGTTTCTTCCCTCTGTCCTTGTAGTAACTGCTCTTTTCTGGGTCTGTAGTTTCCATTAGTCTCCCTGGATACCATTCACATCCTTTGTGACTTGTTGCTTTCTCACCACATCTACATAACCTGCCACTTTCATAACTTGGTTCATTTCTGCCTAGACGGTTAAGGAGGTGTTTTCCTCTGAAACGTTTGTACCCACCTACTAGCCTCACAACACAGTGTTATTATTGAGAAGGCTACATGTTCCACAGATGTGTAGTTTCATATTTTATTCTGAAGATGTTGAAATGAGTATTGTTCACATTCATTTATCTCCAAAGATCCTGTGTATGTAAAATATGTCTTGTAATTTTTCTTGAGTTTACAAATGTTAAAGTGCCAGCAGCTTCATGTACACACAGTCATAATATTTGTCACAGAAAAGGTACTGTTTTCAATTATATCTAAATAAAGATTTGACATGAAAATGATGACAGGTAACAACAAGGAGACTGCTGTTGATGTACGAGTATCCATCCACAGACAGTACCTGTGACCAGTGGTTGCAGTGCTCTGTTCACACACTGTTACCATAATCTCACACATCATCATTCATGTTTTACTGCATAGAGAGAAAATCGGTGCTGTTGCTGCTGGCATGGTGTTTCACTTCTTGTGCCAGAAGATACTTGCATATACCAATCCAAAATACTGGACACAGAATACTGATATAATTTCTACTGTCTGTCTTACTGTTCTGAGTTAAGGGTTATGAGAATGTTAAAAGCTTTAAGCTGTCTATTCTAATGTTCTTATACTAGACATTTTAAACTTTGCATACGTCATTTCAATGTAGACTACTTTTAGTACTTTCTGGGTGCAACCCAAGCATAACAGTTAACTACAACCCCTTCTGTTAATTTCCCAGTATATAAGACAGCTGTTTTCCTTGAAAATGGCCCTAAAATTACAGTATGTATTATATGTTAGGAACAGTCTAGCAGTAAATATTAGAGCCATGGTTACACATAATTCATTTTATTTTGTTCACTATTTAGAAGAGAATTTTTTGCTTCATTTATAATAAATAGTTCATGAAAGAACAGTAAATATTTCTTAATTTCTCCTTCCAAAGCCATTATGCATCTTATGCAATGATGTGCTTTATATAAGAAGAAATATGTTACATTCTTTGAAACTTCATCTGAATTAGCTAAAATAATCTTCATCCCAGAATGGTTTAATTTCAAGATCAAGTACGTAATTTATAAAACATGAATAGGTCTCATGTCCTGCTGCAGAGTTCTGCTGAAATTAGTCTTTCATGCAATTTACAAGCTGTAAAGAAGGACCCCTCAAATGAGAACCTCATTTCTTAATATAAGTTTTATTTTATAATGAAAACTGTTAATTGTCCATAGTATCATGCTACACTCGTGAAGCTGGGGTTCGAACTTTGGAGCGCAAATTGGGAGCCTTGTGTCGTGCAGTGGCTGTTCATGTTGCTGAAATGAATGTGGGTGATCTCACTAAGAAGGACAATGGACAAACAAAACTGCCCATAATCTTGGATGAAGCTGCAGTTGAGGACATATTAGGGGTAATTCTAGTGTTATTACTGTTTATACTTGTAGACTTGAGTGATTCAATCAGTATAGTGACCAGGATGAAGGCTAACAACTGGAGAATTAAGATGTCACTGCATCCATACCTGCTCCAGTGCCCACCCAGCCTTCTGCATAGTGAGTATCAGGGGCATGTCAGTTAACCTTTTCTGTGCAAATGTCAATAAATAATCAACATAGTTACTGTGCTTCCATCACCATAGCTCAAGTGGTTAGTCGCTGGCTTCCGACCGCGGCGGCGGTGGTGGAAAAAGTGGCGCTGGGGCAGGTTTTTTCTGAATACTTCGTTTTCCCCTGCCAATCTTCATTCCACCAATTACTCCACAGTCACCCTCACCTGTCATCTGGGGCTGGTACAATAGGCCAGAAGTGGCCACAGTACAAGGGACTTAGTCCCACCCCACTAGCAATAATAAAAAAAAAAACTGTGCTTCCATGTTAGGCTGATTAAAAATGTGTTGATACATATAGTAAAATCTGTCTAGGCAAAGATTTGTCATGATGCATTTTGTATCAAAATGATCTAAAACAAGGAGATGCTTTACCACCATTGCCTTTCAACTTTGCTTCAGAATGTGCCAGGTGGGACTGAAATTAAATGTGATACACCAGCTTCTGCTGTATGCTGATGATGTATGTCTATTGGGAGATCACATAAATATCCTAAAGAAAAGCGCAGAAGCTCTAATTGATGCTAGTAATGAGGTTCTTCTAGAAGTAAAGACAGAGAAAACTAAATATATGTTGATATTTGATTATGAAAATGCAGTGCAGAATAATAACATAAAGACAGAGTTCAAAGCAAAACTTGATTCATGAGGAAGTTATGAGCAAATTAAATTTGGGTAATGCATGCTACCATTCAGTTCAGAATCTTTTCTGTTCTTTTTGGATGTCTAAAACTGTAAAAATTAAAATGTACAAAACTATAATCATCTCTCTAGTTTTATAAGGGTGTGGCTGTATTGTATTGCAATTGCCTGGATTAGATAAAATGTCAGAAATACTAGGCTTTTAATTTTTACACAGTGTAGTGAAACATGAATTTTACTTTTATGAAGGGACCATTTAAAGTGAATGTAAAGTCAAGAAATTGAAAATTATGTAGGTGTTGTAATTAAATACACAAAATTAATATTATATTGCATTAAAATGTATTCTAGTTCACTTTTTCCATATGTCCATTAATGTAAAGTGCTGCTTCTTCCCTTTCTGCTGAACCCCAGGCATCACTTTCTCAGTACTTCTGAGTGCAGCCATACTTCATGGAGTATTTCTTCACAATGACTGTGGCCTCCAGTGCTGACAAAAAATATTGCTGGATGTTCAATTTTCCTCCATTGTCTTCCTCCTCTCTCCTCTTCCTCCTCAGACACATCAGGTAGAAAGTTTTCATCCATCATTTGTTCAGAGCTCTGCACTTCATCTGTTGCAAGTCATTATTGTATTCTTGAGATGATACACCTACTTTCAGCTGACCCCAGTCATCCCTGGCTGTAATAAGTTCTGTGCATCTTCACCATCACTGGTTTAATTTATCTTGAATCCACGTGCCTGAAAATAATTTGCTATTGTCATATTTGTGACAGTGCCATGTCATGCAATGAAATGTTGCACATCCAATACACATACCTTCATGAATGTTTGAGAGACCTGATTATTCCCGGGTAAAGTGGTGGGAGAATGGTGGTGCAGTAAGGTAGTAGGTAAACTTGTCCCTATGCTTGACTAATTAAGCACTATACCACGAAGGCGTATGGGAGAGTGGACATACAGACCCACGTTTTCTTGACCTCACCGCTAGTTGGAGGTGAGTGATCAGCTTCATGCCACAGCCGCTTTACATCCAGGAAAAGAGCCCTAGTATCCATGGGATAGAAGGCTGGGTGGGCTCCAGAGCCAATCTGGAAGACATGAAGAAGTGAAAATTCTTACCCACACTGGGACTTGAACTCCACCTCCTTGATTGTCCAGCCCATAGCCAGCCGCTATACCGAGTGTGCTATCCCAGCTCCTAATGATGGTGCAGTATGGGGAAAAAAACAGCTATGACATTCTTTAAGTAACTTGTTTCTTTAGGATGGGAATTCATTTTGACATCTGATGCCCTGAAATAGTCAGTAAAGATGGCCCATATAACCCATTTTTTTCTGTTGTCTTTTGGGGGTAACTTTCTGACATTTTGAAGCAACAAGGATTTCCATTCTTCCGAGTAACTAATGGTGGGAGTGTGTTAGTCCCTTCAGCATTGCAAGCTGTCAGAACCCAGTGTCTTGTTAGGTGGAAGCCTGAAGAACAATCCAGTCTCATCAGCATTATAAATGTTTTTAGGTTTGTAACTGTCAGTAACTTTGAGTAACTGTTCTTTCTTCATGTCTGGTCTAGAAAACTGAGATTAACGGATGTGGGAATTCATTGCACTGACCACGCGACACCCTCTATCCACAAAAGTTGGCTCTAACTTCACCAACAAGCAGTAGTCTCAGTCAGTATAGTTCACTTGCAGACTGAAAGAACAGATTTCTTTCTTCATGTCTCCACTGTTGAATAGTCTGCATTTCTGTGCTTTCCTGATTCACTTTTATACATAACACTGTAACTGCTTAAAATACTCAATTCAGCTATCAGAAGCTTTATAATCATCAATGGCCAACCTTGTGGCAATGTGGGGAGTCTTTTCTGTCTTTCTGTCTGCAGTTTGCCACAGATTGCTACCCCTAGCTTGTTTAATCCATGTAGCTAACAAACTCTCCAGTTCTTGAAATAGTGACTGTTTCAGGCTCTCCCTTTGACCAGAGTTCCTGCCTCATTGTGTATGACTTTTTGACATTTTTCCAGTATTTAACAATAGTGTTCAATGCTGACAGCACAATTCCTAATCTGGCTGTCAGTGTGACATGCCTTCCCTTACTAGTATCTGCTTGGGCTAGAACGTCTGCTTTTCTGGAATAGAAAACACCGTCCTCTGCCTTGATTCACTCATCATGTGATCAAAAAGGAATCACAACCAGAAATTAAAATCAAACTCTTTGATAGTTTCATTCATAGTAGATTCATTAAGCTACACTAACATATTGACTTATTAAGCACATGGAACTTGCAGTCACTTATAACAAATCATAACCAGAATATAAAATGAAACTGTTTGCCAGTTCAGTTCACAGTACTTTCAAGAAGCAACACGAACATAGTGCTCTAATAAGGACGTGGAACTTGCAGTCACTTATAACTCACATCACAAGTCATTTATTTGTCAGTACACACAGGCCTGGCAGTGATACAATACACCACTCCACTTGGTGCTGACATGAACTTGAGGCCATAAAATAATAAGCATACATGGTGACAATACAGAAGATAGGAAATTATAAGTGAAAATCAATTTTTTCCCATTGATTTCCAATTTAAAGTATTTAAAATGACAGCAGCAGGACAGTTTATGCTTAGTTTGAACATGTAATCATGAACTTGGTAAAAAGCACTAAAATACTCTGGCTATTTGCTCAAAGCAAGAACTGTGAAGCCAACAGAGTCTGATGTTGCTAGGGAATGGCTCTGCAAACATGTCTGCTGCTAGGCAACAGCTTCATAACTTGCAACAGTAGAGTAACTTGGAAGTGGTGTTATCTGTGTGGTCCATGCCAATAACTACATGCTGCAACAATAGAGGAACTGTTAGGTGAAGTGTTTTCTATGCAGTTCGTGCCAAGGCTACATAAGGAGTTGATTGTTCATTGTGAGTTAGTACCCCATGTGGCAGCAGGGTCAAATACCTCCACCGTGACCCTGCGAGTCGTAGGAGGCGACGAAAGGGGAAGTCTCAAATTTGAGACAGTAAAATATGGTCGCAAGTCCCAAGGGACTTGGACCCGAGAAAGACTGAGCTAGCAAGGGCCAGCAGCATATACAAATGACAGAACTATCCTCTTGTCAGAGAGGGCACTCCACAGAAACAAGACTGTAACCCTCAAACGGTAATAATTAATATCTGGTCATGAGCCTCAGATGGGCTTGACACCAAGACTTACTGACTGACTGACTGACTGACTGTCAGTTGCAATGTGACTTTGACTTTGGAGTTTACAGCTCCATGTGCAGGCAGGGTCAAATACGTCCACCGTGACCTTGCGAGTCGTAGGAGGCAACAAAAAGGGAAGACTCAAATCTGAGACAGTAAAATATGGTCACGAGTCCCAAGGGACTCGGACCTGAGAAAGACTGCGCTGGCAAGTGCCAGCAGCATATGCAAAAGACAAACTCATCCTCTCGTGAGAGAGGGCGCCCCGCAAAAATAAGACCATAACTGTCAAACAGTAATAATTAATATCTGGTCATGAGCCCCAGATGAGGCTCGACACCAAGACTTACTGACTGAGTGACTGTCAGTTGCAATGTAACTTTGACTTTGACTTTCACTTTCAATTTGTGAGTTAGTTCGGTAGTTGGAAGCCAGTTAGTTCGGCTCAGGAGCTGCAGCTGAAAGGTGCCAGCCAGCAAGGACAGGTGCCGTTGGACACGGAAGCCGAGGGCACTACACCATTGGAAGCTGCTAGGAAGCAGCACAGTGAAGACCATGAATGAGAACACTAATCTGTGTGTATTAGTGTTTTGTAAAGTGTAGTCACATGATCACGTGACAGTATATTCCAGGAAAATTTGACATTGTTCAAATGGAAGTTTTGGAGGAACCAATAAAATATGCATAGAATTAAGGAAAACATGGATTCAAGGAACATAAAATTCAAGGTTCAGTATGCATGTCTGTCAGACTTTAATCTCACACATTTTTGTCCCCAGGTCTTACCCAGATTAAGAAATGTAATTTCTTTTCTTAAGTTTCTATTTCCACATAAGTTATAAGAGTTAATACAAGTTAACATTTCTGTAACATAGATTTTACTTGCTCATCCCTTTTGTAAGTTCTCTGAATAGAAACTATATTTAATAGCAGTTCCAAAGTAACTAAATCTGTTAGCAGTTTCTTTGAGAAGATAGTAATAGTTCAGCTATTAAAGAAATTTTCCAGCTTTTATAGAATGTAAAGGTCAGTTACCATGTTGGCAGAACCCCTCACTGGTCCATATATTGAGTCAGATGACTCCAGTTACACAAGGATTATATATGCTTGGGCAACCAGTTTTCCTTGGAAAATGAATTTTGAGGTTACTACTTTTGAAATGGAAGGGAACAAGTGAGGAACAACCAGTAATCACTGCACATTTAAATGACATCTTAGGAGGAAATGGCATTTGTTTACAGAGTGGCAACAGCCCATCACTTGATAGGACTGGCACTGGAATGAGGTAAGCTTCAACCTCCCGGGTGACTGGATGGGCAGTGTATTAAGATCCATTTTCTCCCATCTGTGTATAGGTTTTCCAAGAGGTAAATTATTAACTTACTTACTTACTCATGGAGCTGAGCCCTTTTGGAGGAGCCGCCAATTCTGCAGCTACGCAAGAATTTCCCAGCATTTTATGGAACCCAAAGGTTCATTACTGTGTTCACGAGAGCCCTGCACTGGTCCCTATCCTGAGCCAGATCTATCCAATCCATAACATCCCATCCTGTCTCTCTAAGATCCATTCTAATATTGTCCACCCACTTACGCCTTGGTCTTCCCTGTTGTCTCTTTCCTTTTTACATATGATGTTCCCTCTGTACATCATAATTTTTCCCTTCCAAACAGGAAATTTGGCAGTGAAAGATTTCGTAGGTGAAAGACCCAGATATTTTGTACACAAAGCCTTTCTGGATAACATGAAACTGTAACCCCCTGAAGTGCATTGTTTGGTGATTATGCTTGTGTGTCCTTACACGGTGAGCATTGTTATGTCCATGTGAATGTGCTGATATACCTACTTGCAGCCTGCGTTGTACTCCAACAATGAGCTTTGGTCTCGACTGGGTCAGCCTGGTGTGGCGGTGGGATTGGCTTGGACAACTGTTGGTGGCGAGGTGTTGCTTGTAGAAGCAAACAAGATGGAGGGAGATGGTGAACTAGTGCTCACTGGTCACCTTGGTGATGTTATGAAAGAATCTGCCAGGTTAGCCCTAAACTGGGTGCGCACTACTGCACGTGAGGTAAGTCATACTCTAAGTCTTTATTGTTGCCAAGAACTAGTTACATCTTTTGGCTGTGTATCCATATAAGTTGTCTTGTGTTTCCATCATTCTGCAGTATGGTCTACAGATAGATGGAGAACTCCTGGCCCACACAGACCTCCACATTCATTTCCCTGCTGGCGCAGTGGGTAAAGATGGGCCATCTGCAGGTGTAACCATAGCAGCAGCTCTGATCTCTCTGTTCTCTGAGCGGCCCATTGATGCTGATGTTGCCATGACAGGCGAGATTACATTGCGAGGTGTAGTACTTCCAGTAAGTAACTCGTTATGTTTTTGCATACTTACATACTGAGTTATTAGACTGAACTGCTTAAATAGGTTCACTGAAAAGACACTTTGTTTCAAGGTTGAATTTAGGATTCATATTAATATTTATTAATCCCAATATTTGCAATCAGGTTGGTGGAGTGAAGGAGAAGGTTCTGGCAGCTCATCGGGCCGGACTCAAACAAGTTATTCTGCCTAAGAAGAATGGCAAGGACTTGCATGAAGTTCCTGAAAATGTGAAGGTAAGTGATGGATTGGAAGTAATACAGATAATTAAAAGCACCAGATAATCCAAATTCCCTATGAATTCTGTATGAAGTTAAAAATCTTGAATGTACTGTAGACTATAGTGTCTGTTGATCCTTTTATTGGTACTCACCAGTAAAACAAATATCTTTCCAATAGAAGAAAGCAGCCCTTTTTCAGTGGTAGTAGGCCCATCTGAAAAGCAAGAAATTTATAAAATATACAATTGCAACAGTGTGATGAAGTACCACAGATAGTCAGATAATTGAAAGTATAGAATTCTGTGTTACCATTGCTTGAAATAGTGAGTGATCAGAAATGTCTCCAGGGGTGTATGACCACTCATTCCAAATCTAATATTGATAAAATTAAAAATTTTGCAATTAGATTTACAAAAGTTGTGAAATTTTACTATTTCAGTTTACAATACTAACAAATTGCTGGTTGTATAAATGTATGAACTCATTTGTTTGAATCTATTGTTTCCATTCTGTTGTTGATGTATGAAGTGTAATTAATATTTGGCTTGGAATATGAAAATTAGTTTATAGAGACTTGAAAGATTTTTTAACACCTTGAAGATGTCCACTTCAGTAAAATTTTGTGTGGGAACTCTTATTTGAAACCAAATGGCTAGTCCAAGTTGACACTTGAAATGTGCCTATTACAACAGCAGTGAAAAGATAAATTGTGATGTATATGTAGTGTCAGTGTGATAATAGAAAATAAACAAGGATATGAGGTTGGACTCCACTGCTAAGTGTTTTTCTTCATCCTTGTAGTTTGTAGAATGGCTTAATTGATATGGCCAATGTAATTATTTCTTGAGGATAAAATTGATATATTAATATGCTGTGTAGGATTGTTTACAGACAGATTCTCTGCAGACATTTCCTTGATAGGCAAGGCACTGCTCATAAATTGCTCTGGAATAGCATTGATGTTATTTCCTAAATGTGCCTGAGTAAGATACCATTTAATGTGACAAATCTCTGAACTTACTCTTTTGTCTAAATAATTCACTTCTACGGTGTGTCTGTATCTTTAGCATACAGAATAGCTTTCTCTGAAGTTGGATGTAACAAGATACGAATCTTGTACTAATATTTTCAATTTACCATTGCTTTCACTGGGTCATTCTTTGGTTATTTTTATATTCTCATAGCCATGGATTTTCTCATATTTGCTGTACATAATATGTATAGAAGTGTAACTTCTCTGTCTGTTTCCTATTTCCCTTGATGAAACTAATAGAGGACACTCAGAGATACAAAATTTTGTCCATGAAATTGCTAATATGTATGGGCAAGTGTTGGATATATAATTTTTGGGTGTGATTTATAATTTGAATCCTCATTCCCAACCTTTTCATTTCAATTACACGAGTATAATTTTAATTTATTTCTCTGAGTGTCATTTCTTCCTTAAATTGTAGGTACTATACAGGATGACACAAAAGTAGAACTTCAGGTTTTAAGTCCTGTTGTTAGTTACCACGGCAAGTGGTGTTTCCAGTTTTGTGGGGCTCTTATGCATGAATAAGTATTGTTGTCACAAGCATGCAAGTGTTCATGACAGATGTGAACTGTGTACGCACCATATGATTGCCAGTTTTAAGGCAGTCTGTGACTGTAATTTTACTTTTGTACTATCCTGCACATTGTGATATTAATAGGGAAGCAGTGTACCTCTCCTTGTTTCTTTAGAATTATAAATGTTCTTGTTCCCAGATGCAGTCAGTCCTAAATGTGTATATTTCCAGTATCACTTTTTGCTGTTTAAGTAGAAAGTGTTCATTTTCATCTTTTGACATTTACAATGTATGTGGGTCGTCTGTAACCAAACCTCTCCATCTGTGTTTTTTTCATTTCTAGTTCTCTCCTGCCTTTTCCTTCTGAGCTGTTCTTAGTCTACTAATATCTGTGTTTGTCCATGCTCATGTTTTTGCTCCATGCATGAAAATGGGCCATGTTAGGTGGGTCCCTTGTCACCGCAGCATGGTGCGCCCTCAGGTTGCGGATGAAGGAAACACCCTCCAGGTATAGAGTGAAGCTGCGAATATATTCAATAAGCAGTCACAGACAGCCAAGAAGGGGTGGTCCTCCAGCTTGGTGGTTGGGCGTGGGGCTAACAACTCACCGTAAAAAATAAATTTGTTACGAAAATTCTCGAGAAGCCTCAGACCTGGACAGATTCCTTGGATAAACGACCTAAGCTAATGAAAATGGATATCAGATTTGGCACTTGGAACATACAAAATTTGTACAGGGCAGGTTCGCTCAGGGCAGTGGCAGAAGAAATCTGAAAATATAAGTTAGATTTAGTCGGAGTACAGGAGGTCAGATGGGACAGAGGTGGCATCGCACCAGCAGGAGACTATACATTTTTCTATGGAAAGGGGAATGAAAATCATGAATTAGGTACAGGTTTTTTCATACATAAGAGAATCATATCAGCAGTTAAGAGGGTAGAATTTGTTAGTGATAGGATATCGTATATAATACTAAAAGGTCACTGGTGTGATATGATTGTTATGAATGTTCACGCCCCAACAGAAGATAAAATTGATAACATGAAGGATAGATTCTATGAAGAACTAGAACATGTATTTGATAAATTCCTGAAGTACCCTATGAAAATTTTGTTAGGAGATTTCAATGCCAAAGTAGGGAGTGAAGACATTTTCAAACCAACAATTGGGAATGAGAGTTTGCATGAAATTAGTAATGATAATGGAGTTAGAGTAGTAAACTTTGCCACATCAAAAAATCTTACTGTCAAAAGTACAATGTTCCCACATCGTAACATCCATAAATTTACTTGGACATCTCCTGATGGGAAGATACACAATCAAATAGATCACATTTTGATAGATAGGAGATGGCATTCAAGTATACTTGATGTCCATTCATTCAGGGCAGCAGATTGTGATACTGACCAGTACCTGGTCATGGCAAAGGTTAGGGAAAGACTGTCAGTGAGCGAACAAACAACGCACAGAGTTCATATGGAGAGGTTCAATCTCAAGAAATCAAATGAGGTAGATGGTAAAGAGCAATATCATGTTGAAATCTCAAATAGGTTCGTCGCCTTGGAAAACTTGGACTCTGAGGTGGATGTTAATAAAGCTTGGGAAACTATTAGAGAGAATATCACAGTTTCTGCCAAGGAGAGTGTAGGTTATTATGAACTGAGGAAGCATAAAACATGGTTCAATGAAGGATGCTCAAAATTACTAGACCAAAGAAAAGAAGCCAGATTGCATTGGTTACAGGCTCAAAGTGAAATAAATAGGGATAATCTGAACAATAAAAGACGTGAAACCAGGAGGCATTTCAGGAATAAAAAGAAGGATTATCTGAAAGACAAAATTGTTGAGCTTGCAATGAACAGTAAGAACAAGAACATTAGAGACCTTTATAGAGGAATAAATAATTTTAAGAGGGGTTACCAACCTAGAAGTAACTTAGTGAAGGATGAGAATGGTGATCTGCTTGCAGATTTCCACAACATTATGAATAGGTGGAAGAACCACTTGTCTCAGTTATTGAATGTACATTGGGTCAGTGATGTTAGGCAGATAGAAATGCACACAGCTGAGCTGTTAATACCTGATCCCAGCCCTTTTGAGGTTGAAATTGCTATTGCAAAATTGAAACGGTATAAATCGCCAGGTAGTGATCAAATTCTGCAGAACTTGTTCAAGCAGGAGGCAAAATATTATGTCCTGAGACCCATAAGGTAATTCTATTTGGTATAAGGAAAAATTATCGGGGAATATCACTGCTATCAACTTCATACAAAATTTTATCCAATATTCTTCAATCAAGGTTACGTCCATATATAGATGAAATTATATTTGGTATCATCATTGTGGGTTTCGACGTAGCAGATCAACTACAGATCAGATCTTTTGCATTAGTCAGATATTGGAGAAAAAATGGGAGTATGATGAGACAGTACATCAGCTATCTGTAGACTTCAAGAAAGCCTATGATTCAGGTAAGAGGGAAGTATTGTATAATATTCTGATAGAGTTTGCGATACCCATGAAACTAGTTAAGCTGATTAAAATGTGTTTAAATGAAACTTATTGTAAAGTCCATATAGGTAAACAGTTGTCTGATAAATTTCCTATCCAAAATGGTCTAAGACAAGATGCTTTATCGCCACTCCTTTTCAACTTTGCTTTAGAATATGCCATTAGGAAGGTCCAGGGAAACCAGGTGGGACTGAAATTAAACGGGACACGTCAGCTGTTGGTCTATGCCGATGATGTGAACCTACTGGGTGATAATGTAGATACCATAATGGGAAACACACAAACTTTAATTGATGCAAGTAAGGGGGTTGGTCTAGAAGTAAACAGAGAAAACTAAGTATATGTTGCTGTCTTGTCACCAAAATGCGGGGCAGAATCATGACATAAAGATGGGAAGAAGTTTTGAAAATGTGGCACAGTTCAGATATTTGGGAACGACGATAACAAATCAAAACCTGTTTCAGGAGGAAATTAAGAGGAGACTGAACTCGGGTAATGTTTGCTACCATTCAGTCCAGAACCTTTTGTCTTGTCTGCTGTCCAGAAACATAAAAATTAGAATATACAAAACTATGATTTTGCCAGTGCTTCTGTATGGGTGTGAAACTTGGTCTCTGACATTAAGGGAGGAGGAAAATAGACCGAGGGTGTTTGAGAACAGGGTGTTGAGAATATCTGGACGGAAGAGGGATGAAGTGACAGGAGGTTGGAGAAAACTGCATAATGAGGAGCTTCATAAGTTGTACTCTTCTCCAAGTATAATTAGAATGATCAAGTCAAGGAGGATGAGGTGGGCAGGGCATGTAGCATGAATGGGGCGAAGAGGAATGCATATGGGATATTGGTTGGAATGCCAGACGGAAAGAGACCACTAGGAAGACCAAGACACATGTGGGTGGACAATATTAAGATAGATCTTAGAGAGATGGGATGGATTGGATTGATCTGGCTCAGGATAGGGACCTGTGGAGGGCTCTTGTGAACACGGTAATAAACCTTCAGGTTCCATAAAATGTTGGGAAATGTACATGAAAATGGTCCTGTAATAATTTTTAACATTTTTCTGTCCTTAACATTCTCCATTTCCGAATTACATCCCTGTCGAATTAGTAATATTTGCCTGCATTTCTTATATAGTCCTGTTTGTCTCTACTCTTCACTTTCTTCAGTTATAAGGCCGCACCATATCCCAAACGGTTAGTCGCTGGCTTCCCACTGTAGTGGCCAGGAGTTCGATCCTGGGTCTGGTCAAGTGGGATTTGTGGTGGACAGAATGGCGCTGGGGCGGGTTTTCTCTGGGTACTTCAGTTTCCCCTGCCAATCTACATTCCTCCAAATTCTCCATCATCATAATCACCCATGGCAGGCTACAGTAGGCCAATCAGTGGCCGCTGTGCCGAGTGGACCCAGTTGGACTCCACCCCCCACTATTTTTTTTATTGCTAGTGGGGCCACTTCTGGCCTATTGTACCAACCCAAGATGATAGGTGAGGGTGATTGTGGATCAATTGGTGGAATGAAGATTGGCAGGGGAAACCGAAGTACTTGGAGAAAACCTGCCCCAGGGCCACTTTATCCACCACAAATCTTACCACCCCCCACTAAGTGAATTAAAAAAAAATTCTTCTGTTATGGGTAGGTCCATCAATGCAAAACAGTACATAATATTAGTTATATATTCTTGATCAGCTACATGTTTTGGTTATAAAGGCCATCTTCAGGCATTTTGTACATTCATTTTTCTTTATTTATTGCATATTCCTACATTTTATCTTTTCCATGTCTCCTGTCTCTGGTTTTTTTTTATAATGTCTGTTAGCAAATCATTTATATGTGTGATGAGCAAACGTAAAGGTCCATTGCGTTTAGAAACTTTGTGTTTTCCATGCTGTCATTCCTAATTTCATGAGAGGATGTATCTCATTGCAGAAAGATCTTACATTTGTGCTTGTGAGTCACATGGATGAAGTGCTGCAGGCTGCATTCACTGGTGGCTTCCCGACAGTTGCCAGCCCACAAGACATGGGTTCAGTCATAAGCAAACTTTAGATGTAGCTGTGAGCAGTTTAGTGTAAGGAAATTTGAAGTTCTCATAGACGTATGAGATTATGGTCTTCTGATTTGAGATACCATATGGTCTAATACAGTCTAATATCTTATTTACCTTGTTTCCCAGTTGTTGTTTTGTCAAACAACCATAGTCCCACCACAGCAAAAATAAAGCTTCTTTTTTTGGCAAGAAGTGTATTTTTACAATTATGCACTTTTTAATGTTATATTAATCACTAAGGGACATTAATACTTTGAAGGCATCACATCCCACCAAGCTAACCATTATGTCTCACTGGTTGAGAAATGCTGGTCTAGTATATAGGTACAAACATTTTGGGGCAATCTGCTGCCTATATCTTCGTGGTGGAAGTCTTCTTCTAGCATGAAGGTGTCCCAATATGATCGTGTGAAATGTTGGTACTTATTCCCTAGACTGCATGGTGGAACACTGCAGATGATTAAATTCTAAGTGATTCTGATTCTGACCTTATCCATTGTCCAGTATTCTAGAAACTAGAAAACTTGATGTTTCAGAAACTGTGTCTGTTTCCGTGATTGAGGTTAGCTGTTCGTTAGGAACCCAACAGAGTAGGTGTCTCCCCCCCCCCAATCTGAGGATGGAAACAGATCCAGTTTCTGAAACGTTGTGTTTTTCTACTTTTTAGAATACCGGCTGATGGATGAAGTCTGAAACCCAATAATTCTGATTACAGGCAATGTTAATTAGAAGAAGGAAAGTTTGGTTAGAGATTAAGGTTTATTTCTTGTAAGGACAGATACTACATAGAGCAATATGTGATACTGATACATTGAATCTTGGTGCTTAGTTTGATGTAGATAGTTCCTTAAAGCATAAGAATAGATCTTACCAAATTGTCCCTGAGGCGACAACAATGCAACATGTGAAATAATGTATTTTGAATTTCCATATGCCTCTGTTTATTTTCTTTATGGGACACTAAACTTACCTTGAAAGTGTTAGATTATTTTTAAAAAGACAATATGTTGTCTTGAATAGCACATGAAGTGCTTTGTTTTTGTGCTTGTATGTACATAACAGTCATCCAAGCTTATGGTCTTCTGAAATATGATGTCATGTAGTTTGGTAGGTGCATACCAACATTTCAGAGGAACTTTCTGCTTCCATCTTCAGAGCTGAGAGCAAACAAATAGCAATAAGTGGCTTTTAAAAGAGCTGCGGTGTAGGAGTAAATGCCAGGGGAGAAAGAAAATCAAAGAAAGTTAAAGGAAGAAAAATGAGTAACAAAGAAAATTGTGCGTAAAGTAAGAAAAGTAGGTGTAAGGAAAACTAAAAGGAAGAGATACAGAGAGAATGAAACATGGTTGGAATGAGTGATCCTTAAAAGGGGAATAAATTGAAATAACAAATACAAATTCAAACAGAGAAGAATTGGATGAAAAGTAAATGATACAGGGAGAAGTAAAAGAAAGAGACTAGGAAACAGCAGGGTCATCTTTGGGAAGGATTTAAGAAGTACAGGAGGAAGGAACATTTACTTTAGGGTAGAAATGCAGGTGGAGGCAGCAAGTTCTTCTGAGACATTGACACTGACCTACCACTCTGCAGCACAGTGTCATAACTAGGGACCGGATTTTTATGCCCTAATAATCCCTTAAATATGTATGCATTTATGCAATAAAAACTTCCGAAATATGCATTAAAATATGCACATAAAAATTTATACCAAATATTAAAATTGATTTTTCATTATTTTAAGACTAACAAATCAATATTTAAGTTCATTTTATGTAATCACTGAATGATTCACTTGCAATAAAAAGCTATACTTAAATACAAATCATGCAACAAAGCCAACATATTTCATTACAAATTTAAAAAAAACCAATGGTACTCACAGTTAGCTCTCCGAACTTTCAACTTCTCTTCTGTTGCAGCTCACAATTACTAAATGTTCTAGGTTTTCCATAGTTAGTCGCCTCCTATTGTCTCGTAAGATGTCCTTATAGTGGGAAAAACTTCTTTCCACCTCACAGGAACTTAGGGGCGCATGTACAAAAGCCGCTATTTGATCCACTGTTAGTAATCTTTTACTTGGCAGTTCAGTACGTTAACCGGCTAAAGTTTCTTCAATTTCACAAATTTCTTCATATCCTGGATTTTTTTAAAGAATGCTGTGTACTTTTTCCTTTACTACTTCACCGACACTTCCAGGAACAAAATTCAATTTGGAAACTGGTTTTGAACAAGCTTAACGGCTGATACAAAGTAGTATTGCTGTTGCTTGCTTCCAGTGAGGAAATGGCGGATGGAAGATCAGAGAAGTGAGCAGATATATAGGAAAGATTAGTTTCTAGTTCTGCGTTTTTTAGTACTTCTTGGGCAATTTGAATTGATGCTGCACTTTCGGGATCAAATGTATTCACGACATTCCTAACTGTTTCTAAATGTTCGGTATAATAACTCACTTCACACAGCCACGTGCTCCAGCGCGTTAAAATTGGTTCTGGCGGAAGTGAAACGCTTGGTGCTACTGCTTTGAAGGCTTCTTTTCTGTATGGCGCTTTAACAAATACCTTCTTCACAGAAGACACCAACTTGTCAACAAGCGGAAAATTTGCATGAATTGTTTCTGCAACACGGTGCAACCCATGGGCAAGGCAAGTCAAATGTGTCATATTTGGAAATATAACTTTAAGAGCAGTACCGGCTTTCATTATATAACTTGCAGCATCAGTCACAAAGAGCAATACGCGCTCATACTGAATGCCATTCGGCCATAGTAAGTTCATTGAATTGATAAAAAATCCGGAAACTGCAGAGCTATTTGTGGTTTTAAATTGCACTACCGCAAGAAGATATGGGGTAGATTGTTTATTCTTGTTAAGGGATCCAACTATACAATTTGCAATAAACCGTCCCTCACAATCTTGTGTTTCGTCGATTGATACCCACACAAAATTATCTTGAATCTTATCTCTAATGCTTTCAATTGTAAGATCGTAACACTGCTTCACGTAATTTTTGCGCACAGTAGATTCATCCGGCACTTTGCACTGTGTATACTTCTCTATGAAGTTTCTCAGAGTAGGATTAATTAGTTTCCACAGCGGAATATCTGCCGCTAAAAAGGCTTCGCATAAATCAAAGGAAAACTGTGAAAAACTATTATTAGAAAATTCACTATGCAATTTTTGAACAGGAGCACTTTTCGTGGATTTAATTTTAATATTCTCTTTGTGTATATTAGTGTTCAAATGCTGAAGCACTTGAAAGCGTTTTTCACAACCAAATGTTTTCTCACACACTCGGCAATAAAGAATTTCGTTATACGTACTTATCATCTCCCCTTCAAACTGCCGCTGATACATCTGTAATTTAGTTTTCTGACTTACTTTCACTTTCAGCATGACTACAGAACGCTAAACAGACTTAACTACACACTAGTCACCACTAATGTGAATGGCCCCAGCTTCAAATGAAGAAGCGTAACGAACCTCATGGAGACTTCGGAAATAAATAAGTGAAGTCCCTTATCGGTTGAATAGTATTACATTGATAGCGGCTACAAGTGAACGCTTCTGACTAATCTCTTTGCGGCCACTTTGATGATACGCGGATGAGGCAAGTTACGAGTACAGGGATTGAGGTTGAATCGTATTACATTGATAGCGGCTACAAGTGAATGCTTCCGACTAATCTCTTCGCGGCCACTTTGATGGTACGCGGATGAGGCAAGTTACGAGTAGAGGGATCGAGGTTGAATCGTATTACATTGATAGCGGCTACAAGTGAACGCTTCCAACTAATCTCTTCGCGGCCACTTTGATGATACGCGGATGAGGCAAGTTACGAGTAGAAGGATCGGGGAAGTCCCATCCTGGGCACTGCATTGGAAACATGAATCATGACGAAATGTTGAGTCAAATATGCAACATATTCTAACGCGGGAAAGAAAAATTGTATACACACGACCATAATTAAAAACATAAAATTAAAAAATATATATGATAAACATTTTAAAAGGGAAATATGCAGTATAAATAGAGATCTTCAAAAATATGATGCTTATTCATAATACATGCAAAATATGCATTTATAAGCACCATCAAATCATGTCCAAAATTTAAGAAATTAAGTAATTCGTACATATATCCAAAGGAGCATACTTTCTGGTTGCAAGAAAGAAATATGCATTTGCATTAAAATCTGGTCCCTAGTTATAACCCAGGAGACTACATTACGAATGATTATTGCAGAGCATTACAGTTTGAACCAGTGGTCAACATATGGATGCTGTGTGCTGTTACAAATCCACCTTTCTCATGCTCTGCACATTACAAATCAGTGAATAAATGTTTCAGATTTGATTACTTTGAAATTTTTATATTTTGTGCTTTATTGCGTATGTAGAAGAATTAAAATTGTTTGTATGGTACATCATGTAACATATGTATTTTAGTTTTATTGCCAGCTGGTCTTTCTTTTATCTGTTAGCCACAAGCTTGTAGATTGTTCTCTGTTTACTAGAGATTATAGATACTGGTGTAAAATACTATACATGAGTTTATGTGTCTGGTACAGAAACTGGGATTAACACATGGGATGAGGGTTGCAGGTGAAGTATTTATGTAACTGTTATTAAATGACAGGTGTTCAGTAGCTGTTCGATAGATTTTCTGGCTAACATTACATATGTTAAATATGTGTATACATTTTGTAATTTTATCAAACATAATAATAGGATATATTCTGTTATGCTGTTCTCTCTCTGTTTAATTTACCACATTACCTAACCTATCCTGTCATGACTGAGTACAGGTTAGGTTATCTTTATTGTTTGCATCCTGTTGTGTGTCATCATGTGGTGTTTTGTCCATGAACAGAAAATTTATAAAATTTAAACCAATCTAATATCACTGTGTTACTTTGGTTTTATTTTGTGACTGCTACATGTTTCGATCCACATTTGGACCATCATCAGGCAGTATTCTTAAATCATGGATCCATAGCAATATTAATTGTTAAAATGTTTTCACATATACGATTTGAGTAGCAGAAGCTACAGATGAATGATGCCTTCACAGATACATAACCCCATATTTGACCTTATAATAAACTGTAACCATCATAATGATGCACGTTCAGAAAACCGTCTCCAACACCACGCCCCTAGCATTATGCAACCACCTTCTCCCTCCCCCGCAATGTCACAAGACTCAAGCTACATACCCAATATGACAAACACAAGTCATTCCACACTGAACCATGAACAGGGACAACTTGAGAACTAACAACCTCACATAAATAAATATACAACACACTCTAAAGAGAAATAAGTTAAAAAATAGAATAAAGAACAGAGCAAGATGAACACTTGTCACTAGATAGGTATTAAGTTAAAATTTTAAAGTTTGACAAGATATAATTAACATTCAGCCCAGTAGATTTGTTAATAATCACTCATATTTACAGAACAATTCAATTATGACAGCACAAGGAAATCAAGGAGAAACATATGTAATAAACCCAGTAATAACATACTCGTATAAGCAATTCACCCACATCATGCAATATAAATACATAT